AAGTACAGTCTTAACTTGAATTATCAGAAAACATTTTGTTACTTGATCAAATTCGGTGGCTTTAATAACCATTTTCTTCCATAAAAATTATTGCCTCTAATCAAGTGAACCGGACTGTATAAGCTCCGGTCTTGAAATTATTTCATTTGTGACCTGCCTTCTGATATTCACGCCGAATTTCTACTTGCCAGTATATCAACCTCTTTGCATCCACGTCTTTTTGCATCTCATTTCTTCCATTTAAAATGACGCTTCTTTTCCCTCCTTTTTCCCGGTATGGTCCGCATTACTCTTCAGCAACTACGTGTCGGTCTTTGTCATTCCATGGCTCTGCCTAGTCGGTAGTCACTATCAACTTCTTCCCTAGTGGTGCGATGTGATTGCCAGATGGGGTCCTACAACTCATTTATGCCCCGGAGATGGAGAGTTGCTTAATTAAGTAGGAATATGGATGTCCGGTTGTAATTACAACTTTAGGACGCCAAAATTTCGTCGAGCTGCCTGACGCACAACAGTCAGTGATGCGAGTCGATGAAGGCTCCTGGGATGAAACACATTCAGCAAGAAGTTTAAACTACTACTTAACAAGAATCAACCCCGGCATACCTAATAGACATATCCAATGCATGATACGAATCATCTCTTAACATGCCCACTTAAATCGGCTCATTTAAGACTCCGCTCATTTACTGAGTGTTCTTCTTCTTCTTGGTTAGCGATTTTGGGCGAGTCGAATAAAGTATGCCATTCGTTTCCTTTCTGTGCCAACTGACACCAACTGGAAATTGCAAGTGAAGTGAAGTGAAGTCCTTCCGCACCTATCCCATCCGTTGCAGAGTAGGCCTTACTCTTCCTTCTGATTCGCGTTGAAACTTTCAGGGCTGAAGAATTTGGGTTCATTGGTACAACATGACCAAGCCAACGAAGCCGATGTACTATTTTGATACGCTGCACTCTGTCTGTAAGTCCAAGTATCGAAATGTCTCGAAATATCAAACTAAGTTGTAAGATTCTAGACATGTCTTTACCTTAATCACAAGCTCAATAGTACACAAGGGCGAATTCGTAACTCATAAAAAATTCCTTTGGTCGCATCGTTCTTTTCTTCCCTTGACATGGAGTTCTAATATATGTACACCACTGAGGGCAGCAACCTAAAACTACAGTTCTCGTTTGTAATACTTAATTCATAACTGTCTTGTTTTTATTTCAGAATTTACCTAAATTGGAAATCCTCGATATGGCTTTTAATAATTTACCAAATTTCAACTTCGATTACTTTGACCAAGTAAGCGCAAACAAACACATACATACTAAATATGTATGCATACTATTCATAAAAACTTAAAACACTTACAGGTGGGTACCTTATCTAACTTAAATGTGAATGTGAGTCACAATCAGATCATTATGTTGATGTACAATAGTTCTTGGGCGGGTCGGAATGATCATGGTTAGTATGACGATATTTGGTATTTGAAATAAACTTAGTCGAATTAAAATTAAAACTTCTCTATAGGTTCAATGTATCATTCAAATATTAAATTGCTTGACTTATCACACAACAACATTTCCCTTATACATCCGGGCTATTTCCGGCCAGCGGAAATCTCATTAACACATCTTTACATGGGTTATAATTCCTTAATGGTGAGCTATTCTAAGGATTGGATGGAATAGTTGAGTTAAAATATATATTTTTAATTTGGTGTATTTCAGAATTGCACACGCGATGTCTTTGGTAATATGCCACATTTACAATGGCTGGATCTGTCCTACAATCGGATACGCGAGTTAGATTTTGACGCATTTAAAAATACCAAACAGCTGCAGGTTTGTTCGAGCAAGAATAATAATAATTTTATGAAATAATTAACTATTTATAACTGTAAATATATTAGCTTATCTATTTGGACCACAATTACATAACGGATATACCGCAAGATATTTTTAAACCCATCTACGCTTTGCGTGTCGTCGATATGTCACATAACCACTTGCGAGGCTTACCAGATAATCTCTTCTATAATGGCGGCATGGAAAAGTGAATAAAATTAGCTGTTTAGTTTGATAGAAATTAAGATTTATTTTAATTCTCCAAACAGAATGGACGTCTCACACAATATGCTGCTCAAAATACCCTCGTCATCCTTATCCAGTTTGGCCGCTTTGACATTATGTGAACTGCACTTGTCCAACAATTTCATTTCGACAATACATAGCATGGATTTGTCAAATAAATTTAGGGTGAATATAAAATAAATATACATACATATATGGGCCATTGTTTCGCAAGCGGGCCACCCGATCTCTCCGTTTATTCGGCTTGATTTAAACAATCGAAACCTTGTGGGAAAACTGGTTTAAAGGGTCTATTTTTAGTTTCTAAAAATCGAGATGACAGTTTAAATTAAACGTCTAAACTAACTATAAATTAGATTTTGCATTACATTTTTGTGTCTTTGTAGAACCCAATACTAAAAAAGAAAAACTAAGAGCCGATTTTTATGCTCTTAGGGATTCTGATTACGAATCGGGGGTCTGCTTTTAAGAATTCATAATGGCGTATCTAATATTGCGGACAAAAAAATTCAAATTGATCCGATTCGTTTGAAACGTTGTCCTCAAAGCATATTGTGGTTGCTAATTAAGAATCTGTAGTAAGATTTAAAAATTAAATATGGCGGCCAAAAAATTAAAATCGATACTTGAGGCCGCTTACTATGAATTTGAAATCAGATTGAAAAAATTCACAATGGTGGATTCATACGGATCTACATTTTCTCACGGAAATGCTTACATGGCGTATGAATGACTGAGATGAGATTTTACTGCAACTCATACGACATGTGTGTTCGATTTTAACTTTTCCGTGATAAATGGTAGATACAATATGGATCCGCTATTTTGAATTTTTGAAACTGATTTCAGTTTCGTAATCTCCGATCTTAAGAACCCCCGATTGTACAGTTTTAACCGAATCTAATCGATTTGAATTATTTTTTACCGCCATATTGGGTCCGTGATTTTGAGTTTTTCCAAACAGATGAATCGAATCAATTTTAATTTTTTTGCCCGCCATAATGGATCCACCATTTTGAACTTTTAAAATCAGACCTCCCATTCGTATCCAGACATCCCTAAGAAGATGAAAGTCTGTTGCTAGTTTTTCATTTTGAATATTGAATTCTCCAGTGT